ACCTCTGAGGACTGATAAAAAAAAAAAAAAATGGAAATTACATCTATACATGGTTTTTAACTTCCCAATTCAAAAATTAGGTTTAAAAGGTTTTTTTGTTAAAAAATAAGGTGATAATTCAACTTTTAAATATTATTAATAATAATATAAAATTAAATTAATCTACATATCCACCTTCACCCCAATCCAATTTCACTGTCAAAACTCTCTCTCTCTCTCTCTAAAGTTCACAATCTCTTCTCTAGCGCGCAGCGGAACGCTGAGTGCATGCGACACTGGGGGTATTTTTTTTTGTTGTTTGCACTACGGGTGATTTTTTTATCTGTGGGTAGGTATTTTCTGTTAGTGGTTGTTTGTGGGTGGTGAGGCGGTTGTTGTGCAAGTGGTGATGGTAATGGCGGTTGTGGTGGTGGGATGGTGGTGGTTCTTTTGGTGTTGTCGATGGTGGTGAGGTGGGGTGGCATTTGGTTGTTGCCGATGTTAGGCGGGGTGGAATTTTAGGTAATTCTGATCTATAAAATTTGTAATTTCTGATCGATAAATAATGTGTAATCAATTAATAAAAAATTTTGTGACTGATAAATAAGTTGTTAACTAGTAAATAACTGTGGCTATAATTTGTATAGTATTGTGACCTTAATAAGGAAAGTTGCCTTCGCACGCACATGATTATGTCTCTGCGCAGTCATCGATATTTTTGTCATGTTTTTCTCTGCTGATATTCGATTGAGACTATGCAAAGTGAATTGAAAAACTAACTTAAAGGGCTACAATTATTATAGAATTGACTTTTACGACTAAATAAATTATAAATAAATAATGACGTTAATTAATATTGAATTCATTAATAAGTATAAAAAATGTAATACAATTAATAGAAATACCACAACTAAAAAAATATTAAATCGAGGTACTAAAAAACAGCGTTCTAAAATGCGTAATGCGTTGTGAAACGTCGAGGCCGAGAATCAAAAATCANACCTCTGAGGACTGATAAAAAAAAATGGAAATTACATCTATACATGGTTTTTAACTTCCCAATTCAAAAATTAGGTTTAAAAGGTTTTTTTGGTTAAAAAATAAGGTGATAATTCAACTTTTAAATATTATTAATAATAATATAAAATTAAATTAATCTACATATCCACCTTCACCCCAATCCAATTTCACTGTCAAAACTCTCTCTCTCTCTCAAGTTCACAATCTCTTCTCCAGCGACTTACCTTTAGAACCCTCGCAGCGGTTCAACTTATCTCCAACGCTGAGTGCATGCGACACTATGGGTATTTTTTTTGTTGTTTGCACTACGGGTGATTTTTTGATCTGTGGGTAGGTATTTTCTGTTAGTGGTTGTTTGTGGGTGGTGAGGCGGTTGTTGACTTGTTGTGCAGGTGATGATGGTAATGGCGGTTGTGGTGGTGGGACGGTGGTGGTTCTTTTGGTGTTGTCAATGGTGGTGAGGTGGGGTGGCATTTGGTTCTTGCCGATGTTAGGTGGGGTGGAATTTTAGGTAATTCTGATCTATAAAATTTGTAATTTCTGATCGATAAATAATGTGTAATCAATTAATAAAAAATTTTGTGACTGATAAATAAGTTGTTAACTAGTAAATAACTGTGGCCATAATTTGTATAGTATTGTGACCTTAATAAGGAAAGTTGCCTTCGCATGCACATGATTATGTCTTTGCGCAGTCATCGATATTTTTGTTATATTTTTCTCTGCTGACATTCGATTGAAACTATTCAAAGTGAATTGAAAAACTAACTTAAAGGGCTACAATTATTATAGAATTGAATTTTACGACTAAATAAATTATAAATAAATAACGACGTTAAATTAACGAAAATATTGAATTCATTAATAAGTATAAAAAAATGTAATACAATTAATAGAAATACCACAACTAAAAAAATATTAAATCGAGGTACTAAAAAATAGTGCAATACGTTTCAAATCCCGATATAATGATATTACGAAGTCGCACTAGTGTTATAATTTAATTCTCGAAATTCATATATTTATTCCTCAAATGATCAATTAATGCATTTTGAAGTGTAAGGTAAGCCTATTTATCCTTGAATTGTTTATGACGAGCAATGAACTTTTGAAAGTGATCGTGTTTATGACATAATTAAAATTTATTACAAATGCACATAATAATAATAATAATTTGTTTTGTAACAAAAATGGACATAAGTACCCTTGACAAAAAAATGTAAAAGTGAGAGAGGAGGGTAAAAAGGTATTTAATCATTTTGACGCAAAATTATGCAAAGAGTGTAATTTGGTGAATTTTGGGACAATAAGGATGGGTTGGAGATGCCTACACAACTGAAATACGAGATTCTAGAAAACGAGACTCCTGAGCCATAGGCCAAACGACATCGTTTCTGTTTTGCAACTCAAATCCCATTTTTTTTTTTCTCGAAACAAGAGCGATAACACTGAATAGTCCCATTGTTTCACAAGAATGGTGGTGGTGGATTCAGATTCAACCATAGCCAATGAAGAAGAAGAAGTGGCTGAGCCTGAGCCGCTGTCTCGGCCACTGCCACTGGTAGCATTATCCATCAGTCTAATAGAGCGGGAGAAAATCCAGCGCCGCAACTCCACCTCCGCAGTTCTGCCACCTCCAAACACTCCCTGGTCAATGGTTGCCATCAGAGATTACGAAGATGATAATAATAACTCAACGATCATCTTCCCTCCAATCAACCACGAGAACCTTCAGATTTCTAGAGAAATTCCGCAAGTTCACGGCGAATTATCAATTACATCGTCACCACACAATGACGAAAATTCCGAGTCCGATTCATATTCGGATTCCGATTCAGATTCAAACTCAAACTCGTCGGCCTCGTTTTCTCCGTCCGATTCCAGCTCAGTGAGCGCATCTCCTTCGATTCTAAGTCCTAAGGCTAGGTCGGCGGCTGACATCGCACAGTGGTTCGATTCGATGGTGGAAATACTGCGTTCCAAGGTGAATAACATCATGAGTCTCATCTGGGGCAATTTGGCTTCAACGTTTAAGTCGTCGTTGACGTTCCGTTACGCCACAGTGGCGGCGATGCTGCTACTGTTTCTATATTTCAGGCGAAGGAGAAGATTTAGGGCTCAGGAAGACAGTACGAATCAGCTTATTCGCATTGCGAGAGAGAAAGATGAGGTAATTTTCTTTGCTGACAAACTGTTTGTGAAAAATCCCATCGAATTTGCATAATCACTAATTAAGCTGCATTATGATATATTGATATTTGTATCTATTTGCAGAAAATTAATAAACTATTGGATCAAGTTGCAGAGATGAATCGAGCTTTGCTATCATTTCATAGAGTCCCCAGTAGCTAATTGTTCGTATGACATGCCTTGATCCCTCCCGAACAAGCTGTTAATTTTCGCTGTTGTGCGTCTATAAAATCCTTTTTCTTGGTCATGCTCTTCATATTTTGGAGAATGTTTGTTGTGGTATACATCAAGATCAATGCCAACATTTTCATTGTGTGTGTATGTACATGTATACCGAACTATGCTAATAACTATAAAATCTGTTTTTCGACTAGTCAAGTACCACAATTGAGCACCATAGTGTAGCAAAGAGGTGCCTAATTCAATTCTGTCTAATACAACAAAACCGATTCTATTCATCGACACTCGAACTCTATTACACATAAAGTTGCTAGAGTACAATTAACATCTAAATTAAAATCACTACTCTACCAGATTTGTATTCAAGGCTTGTGCGTGAATATCTAAAAACATGTATGGCATTTCTAATACACAATAATGTACAGTAAATTTAAATTTTTTCTTCAATTATATCTATTAAAGATACCGAAATCACCATATATCAGTTCCGTCAAGGGGGATGGACCAAGCGACCATGAGATGGAAAAAGAAATTACCACAAAAATTGAAATTTTCAAAACCAAACAAGGAAAAATACATGATATCATTATCCACGAGTGTTTGAAACTATAAAATTCTGCAGCCAG